CACAGATAGCTTATTCAGTCAAAACCTATAACGCACCGATCCTATTTAATTTGCTATCTTTCCAATAGAATATCTGTTAGAGAATGCGATGGCTATCGGCGAATTTTATTGTCCCACGAAAAAAAAGTCGTTTCCTCCGTAAGGGGTCAACTATTGCTTCTAACCAATTTAGCCCCCATCTTAGTCCGGATATGTAGTGATTATTTCGAGAGACAGAGCAACAGACCTCTGTGGTTCATGATGTACGAAAACAAGGTTATCTTAAGCACAGCCTTTCCAATTCCTTTCGTTTAAAGTGCACAAAATGTCCTTGTCGGTAGCCAGACAATTGACAGGTGCACCAATCTGTTTACGCATACCCTATTATCCGTGTGTTTTTATGCGGATAAAATGTGACACGTGATAGCCAATGAATCAATCAATAGTAGGCAGAACACGGATTCCCTAGATACTTTACTGTTATAATAATGTTAAACTGCATTTGAAATGTAGCATACCCATCACATGCTGATTGCGTTATAGTGAAAGGTGCAATAAAGCTTGAAATGTTTACATAAACTGCGTTCCTACGCAAACTTCGATTCAGGGATAAATATAATCAGGCGTAATTTACGTGCGCACATATGTGTGGGGCCATTTTGATTCGAATGTGTGAAGTCAACATGCTCGCGTTTAGACAACAATCATTTACTATCCTGGATCCCAGTTCTGTTATCGAACGTAGTGGAAGAATTACCAGAGAAAAACGGTGTGTCTGAATAGTTATCAACGTTTTTTTTAGGGGGGGGGGGGAGAGGGTGAGTGATCAGGAAATCGGGAGGTAGAAAAGTACAAGCCAAATATATAGGAATTCTGTCCTATTATTTATTATCTGTCAAGTAATGATACGGACAATTTTTCATTTTTTTTAGTTCGATTTGTTTATCTGACCGATCTAGAGTTCAGTTCAGTTCAGATTTTACAACCATTAGCCATGCACCTTCGTGTGCCGGTTTTGGTTGGTGTTCGTCAGTAGGGTAAAACAAAAGGTGAAGGCTACAATAAAATCAAACGAGATTGCATATAGCACAACAGGATCATTGTTATTGATAATACTTAGGATATGGAACACAATAATGGTTGGGAAATGCGTTCGATAACAGGCCACTTCCTTGACAGCTTCGGTTACGAATAACGTTTTTTCGTCTACAGTTATCCCATATACAATATTTGGAGTGAGTTCTTTGGCAACTAAGCCTGCATAAGGAATCATTCCGATGCTTCCATCTAAAGTTTGGTGAGCAGAGTGCTCTCGACCCCTCAAAATGTAACGTGATATACGATACTGGTGAAGCCTGATGCTGTTCATTCCGTCACGAAACACCGACCTCCCTTGACGGTATACAATGGATATGAGAAAAAATGGTGGATGCGCAACGTAAAGCTTAAAACCGTCGCTGAATTACCACTTGGTCGCGCGCGGTGAAACTTATTTACCGAGAAACTTTGTAAATCGTATATGACAGGTCCAATAAAACCTAAATACGGAAGCTAGGCATGTTAGGTTTAACTTAGTTATTGGATACTGGTCCTTCATTCAGTCGTGTGCACGACACCAACGCACCGCATATAACGTGCCTAAATGAGAAATTAGCACATGCTGCTTTTTTTTACTGACGACCGCGTTAACTGTGGCGGTAGCAATAGATTCCATCTGAAAGTAATTTTTCATTTCTAAGGAATGATTCCATCAACTATCCCTACGAGACGCAACCTTTAGAACTCGACACACGGGTTGATATGTGTAGAAATTCCGTTTGTTTGAGAAACGCACGCGGTCTCCGTAGAAGACTCTATGGTGTGCAATATTCAGCAGAATTTTTCAGCATTAGAGAAAGTGAGTATTAAGGTAGTTTATGATAGATGGAGATGAAAAGGATGACTGCGGAAAATCAGTTAAAGCTTGCCCCCAAGCGTCAGCCAGCAGTCATTCAGATGATGAAAATCAGAAGTAATTCCATGGATAATCAGGATAGTCAACACATTCAGAAGGAAAAGGTAAGCGAGATCTTTCTGATCACGACAGAAACGAAAGTAAGGAGCATGCACTGTCAGAACTAACTAGAAACTGACTAGATGGTCTGCACATCATGGAGTCCAATGAATTGATGAGTGTGGTAATAAATCGGAACCACGAGCAAAATACCAAGCACAGAGATGACATTTCAGCATAACTCACAGTGTTGGGAATGACTGTAGGACTGGAAGTGGAATTCATCAAACGTCGACCCATGTGGACGGCCATACGCCCATCAAACAGACGGCAAAAAGCGGGTGGTTCCTTGCCTTCTGTCACACGAATCTGATTAAAAGAAATAGAGGGAACAGTCAACAAAATTGACGGCAGACTAGCAAAGACTTGAAATACGAGTATGGAGATTGCAAATTTGTTTTTTAAATATGACGAACGAGTCGGCCTTACACATAATCTCCAAGCTGGTTCGCGAGGATCTTTGATTGTCTAAATGTGCTTGACGAGGAGCATATATCTTGACCAAATAAAATGGTAAAAATGTTACAGAGGCATTGCGTGTGTATACTGCATCATATCTAACTGTGATTAGGGGTAAGGAATGAATTCCATCATTATGAGAACCTCCCATTTGGTTATTTGAACTGATGACCGAAGTCCTGCAACTTGCAGTAAAGAAATACATTAGGATCCCACTAAACTGAAGGTGTTAATGAGTCGCACCACAGAAAGCTATCTACCGTAGAAGTAAGGTGGGTATTACATGTTTCGAACTTCGGGTTTAAGGTAGGTCAATGAGAACTATTGAAACCGCTTGATCAATGAAGTTGTGATCGTATTGTATTGTATTATATTGTGTGTAACTTTTAAAGGAACTGGAGCTCACATTTCAGTTAAAAAAATCATAAATACTAACCGTCACAATGTACATAATCAACGAGGAGAAAAGTTTTTTCAGGTATGGGGACATTTCATAATCCAAGGTTAATATACAGTTCACTTATTGATCGCTCTTTGTTTATGAGTAGACGAGCAAGGTACGGCATAGGTGAATCGCGGTAAGCGTTAATCCGAGATGAAATTTGACGGGATTGGGAGCGTGTTGAATGATGGGAACGATAACGTCCCAGTCCTGCATGCAATGGGTGGTCAGGATCTGTGAGAATCCTCGCAGCAAATTTCACACAGGAAATCACGTGATACTCAGAAAGCTTTAAAGCTAACTCATTCAAAGGAATAGAAGTGACACGACTAATAATGGTTAGACCGCGGCGAAAGACTTTGAACTCCCGTTTGAGTAAGCCAGGAAAAATACCTGGGGAACAGTAGAGTAAGACAGGGAAAACACACTGAGGTAGGTAAAAATAACTGACTGGGATGCGCGAGACTGCCTGAGCTTTCGTATTTGAAATGATAGGCACCGCAGTTTACCAATCCAGTTGTGGATGTCGGTTGACTAATGAAGATTGCTATTGATGGTCACACCAATATATTTGACAGATTTCACCCTGGATAAAGGATTGTTATTAATCACGTGATAGAGAAACCTAACACTTCACTGAGATCCAAGCAACTGATACGAACCAACTTCTGTGACCCGACCAAAAAACTTAATCCATCTGTGAAACATCACCAAACAAGAGGGTATGGGCCAAACTTTCTAAAATATACTGGTATGATATGACTGCTGAGTCATTTGTGGTTCGCACACAACATCGATTGTCACACAAGGAAATTTGGAACCGGTATTGATCAGATTTCTGAACCGACCTGAGGACAACGCTCCTCGTCCAGTTCGATTGTCATTACAGCGGATGCACCCTTCTCGGTGATCTTGCTTTGTGAGCCGTGCCAGAAAAAGTAGACACACTGTTCCCGTGATGCATCACTCGCTCGTGATGGTATATCCCGAAGACCAACTGTGGAACATGAAGTGAAAAATGTCAGTTATCCACAGACCTAAATGGAACTGGTATCCATTTAAATGAAGAAAAGGAAATTTCGGTATGAATTTATGGTGCATATCTTCGATCATACGTTTGCGTGAATAGTGTCTGTGATTAACCGATGATTGTTCCGTAAAAAAGAAGTAATTTAGGGTATTGAACTGTAAGCGATTGATTAAAATCTCGTTAACTTTGTGGAAAAAGGATTTAATTTGAAATGTATAAGAGTGAGTTCCACATTTTGTAGCCCGATAGCGAGCGCAATCCTGAAAAACTGGGTGGTTAGTCACAACCTGTAGTCTTCATTATTGCTTTACAAACGATTTCTCACTGCTTAGGAATCCTCTCTCTCGGTCGGAGACTAACAAGGGGTTTCGATCGAAGCATTCATCTGTGACGCAAACAAAACCATACGGCAGCGAGCATGACAGCAGAGTTGGGCTAAGTAGTATGATGATGATGATAACCTACTTATACGAAACAACTATATAGTTACAAAAACAAGCTTATTCGCATTGAATTATTATTCTGATTGCCAAGTGGAAATACTGTGAAATATGGTTTTGATCCAATCGGCACAAGGTCTAACAATTTGGTCGCACTGGTTTCTGTTCATGTTATTATTGTACAATCGAAATCGAGACAGCGAGCAGTAAAAGGTGTGGTTTTGACGCATTTCACAAAGGTTGATGACGAGGAAGACGATGCTTTAGTTGATGACGATTGAGTTATTTTTCAATAACAGCTGTGCTGAGGTACTTACTGTCTGGCATGTCATGCACACATCGCGTCAATCATTCTCTGTCAACTCGTCTATGGATAACTATTTTTACACAGGCGTGACTGTACTTTCCCTCTCTTAAACGATAGCCACGTTGAGGGTCCTCAACCTGGTGATCACATGATAATAACCTCGAAGACATGCGTGGTGGTAACGCATACATACCATACGAAAATCCTGGCATTCCCAAACAATTTTAAAACCAGAGAAAATCCCATCGGTCGGTGGAATTGCAAGAATCCTCCGATAGTAAAAAAATGTGCATTAGGAAAGCATTGCAATGCAAATGCCTCACGGGAATAACCGGCAACTTTCGCGAATCATTTGAAGTTGTTTGATCACTGTGGACGAGGACAATACATCATCTGCAACTGAGGACTAAATCATCAGGATCCTACTAGTGGTTTTGCACCCATCTCGAACTGTACAACGATTACCAAGGTCTATCCGACACAGGTGGAAGAACAGATATTTATAAAATAAACACAATTTATTTTTACCAACTGCAGTCCAATTAACTGGTTCTGTTGATCAGTCACTTTTATTTCCCGAGTTTGAATCCCTCATGGGTTTGGTGGATAACAGCACACTAGTGATGACGATTACCAACATGCATGAAACAGTGGTAGAGTGCTTCCAATGCTTTGACACGATTAGTAGCACTATTACTCTTATTGACGAATACAGTTTGATAGAAGTTAACAAAAACTATATCACTGGAGTAGTATGGAAACCCCTTTCAACCTGAGAAGCAGAGTATATCATTCTAATTTGAACTCCATTAGAACAATGAGTGGTGGTTTCTTGTAGTTATAGATTAAAAGTGTGTACTCTTGAACAAAATCTTCATCCCACTGTAATAGTCCTTGCAAACTATGTTTGTTATGATGTTATCGCTCCGGTAATCCCTTTAATTCTGTGCAAAGCACTCGGTGCTTACCGAATGCACCATGAAATCTGTTTTCATGTGA